GGTTATGCGAACACTGGTGTAGAGAGAGAGAGAGAGAGGGCAAAGAGTATGAAAGGATAAAAATATATTTTTTAAAAATAAAAGTTAAAAAAACTCCAATACACTTAGTTACAATGTATCTAAAATACATAGGATCATTCCCCTAAAAGAAATCCCCAAGTTTTTTATTTTATGTGTATACCCCTGTTTTTTTTTTTTTTAATTCCCAAGTTGCCACCACTTGGGATCTAATGTCAAAGCCATTTTGTAGTTAATTATTACCTCAGATCTTGAACTGGTGGCAATTTGGGACTTTAAAAGAAAAAGAAAAAATGAGGTACAAATGTAATATAAACAAATTGGGGGAATTCTTTAGTAACACCATTTTTTTGGGGGGGAATCAAATTAAGATACACTTTTTAAATCATACAAAAAATTGTAATTTCTGTCTTTGAAATTTATGATGGTTTGAAAATCTATTTCCATCCCTAATTCAAAATTTTTGATGTGCCCTTATATAAACTTGGGAAATTGACAAATAAATGATGTTTTGTTTTTTATATTTAAAAATAGGTATGGTTTGAGACATGACATTATCAAAAAAAAAAAAAAGGAAAAAGACGTATGGATTGTATAAGGTATCAACCTTAAACAATCCAATTAAAGCGCACCTCCGAAGCTCATTGAAAGATGTAATTTTGTTGTTGAAAACTTTAATGATGATCTCAAAAAAATATTTCACATCTAATTATGAAATTAAAATTTAAAAAATGTTACAAATCAAGCAGGTCTACAAACAAATGAAAATCTTAAGAATGGACGGTCTAAATAATGTATTACAAAATGTAATTTTTTTGGTGATTTAAAATCATTTTTTTCACATCTTTTTTTTGGTGCTTTAAAATCATTTTTTTCACCACCAAAACAATTTTTTTCAATGGATTTTTTTAGCCCCTTTTTTCTATGTTTAAGGTTGCAACCTTATGTAAACTTTTTCTTTTAAAAATAGTTCCCTGTAGTTTATCATTTACATTTGGGTCCCATTTTCTAAGAATATAAGTTGTATTCTTGCCTTATATGAACATATGAGCCCAACCATCCAGATTGATTCTAGGCCGATCTAACGATCATGAATGTCCGGTAGTATTTGAATTTTAGTTTTTTTTTTCTATAAATCCAAATTACTTGGAATTTTAGGCGTGTATTCATCAAAAATAGGTGAATCTTTGAAAAATATCAAAAAAATATTTTACAAAAAATAAATTGATCAAAATACCCCCAAAAAGTTTTGGAGGTCGTTTTGGTTATTTTTCTTACAAATACTTTTTTTATATATTTTTATTAGATGTGCATTGATGAGAAGAACACACAGCTAAAATTTCAAATAATTTGGATCTGTAGAAAAAAAAAAATTCAAACATTACAGAACATCCGTGATCATCAGATCGGCCCAGATTATTGGGCT